GGCACTGTTCTAATTGTGGTGGTGGTCATATGACTCATGAATATATTAAAAACCACTGACTCGTATGCTTAAATGGGTTAATTGTGTGGTAGGTGAATCATATCTCAATAAAACCATGGCCAGAAAAGAAGAAACGAGGAATTGATGTTTGCAAGGCTGCATAAATCTCCTATCCCACACCTTCCCCAACCATCCCCTAGGTAAAACCTTGAATTTCTCATCTTCACATTTAACTCAAGGGTCCTTGGGATAACCTTGAACCCCAGCTGGCAGAAAGCATTGTCTAGAGCCTCTAGTTGCCCTGCCCAGCTGGCTGCTATCTCGTTTCACTTCAGTCACTTGCTCACGGGATCCTAGTAATGTGCAGTCTTTTATTCTGGATCCCAGCTACGTATTTCCACAGAGTCGGGGAGAGTCTAGAGTGGGTTACTCCACCTGGCTGGTCCCTGAGCAACTTTTTGCAGTCTGAGATTCTAGGTGTGATATGTGTGGGTGGGCAGAGACACCCCCTCTCCCGACCCCCAGCCCGCACCCCCACCCCACGCTCCCTCTTCTGCTGCCTCTCTTGCCCTCATCGAGGCCTACCTCTGGGGACCAGTCTGAGCGCAGCCAGACCCAGGCCCTGCACTGAGAGCCACCTCGCCCTTGTGGGCTCCTGCCTCTTGCTTTGCTGAGGTTTCTGTCTACTTGTCAGCCCTGACTGCATGACAGACGTCCCTCTCACAGGAGGGGTGAGAGGGAAGGAAACCCCGCCCTGGCATACTTTGGAAGCCTGTGTCTTTTGTGAGGCTGGTTGAGGATCCCCCGTGGGGGTGTGTTTGGAGGGGCTGAAGCCTCGCGTGGCCAGGACCCATCTGCCAGCAAACCCGGGTGCGGCCTCACCCTCCCTGAGCTGGAGACCTTCTCCTACCCTCTCTCCCAGCTCTGCCTGATCATGGTTCCCTGAGCTGGGTGCATTCCGTTTCTGGGAGAAGGGATGACAAGGCCCAGGTTTCAGGCTGGTTCTGGGGCTCCTGGGTCCTGAAACCCCTGCCAGTAAAGAGAATGAGGAGCCTTGCCTCTGAGCCTGTGCTGCCTTGTACCCATCGGTTGGCCGAATGGGCTTTGCTGTCCTCAATGTGTGCATCTCTTTTGCCTGCCGGGAGCCCCGTGAAGGCAGGACCCCAGAGTCCTCTCGTCAGCCCCTCCCGGTGCTCAGCTGGGCCCTGGTGCCAGCGACAGGCTGGGACCACGTGTGGATGAGTACAGTGCTGGCAGCTGGCGTGCACAGAGGTGGAGGGTTGACAGACCCTTGTCCAGTCGCTTCCTGCCTCTGCCTGTGTCCCCACAGACTCGGCCTCTCCTCCTTCATGTCTCCTGGACCTTCCCTTCTTTGGTCTCTTCCCAGTCATCCAAGTCCTGGTGGGTGAAGTCAGATCAGAGAAAAACAAACAAATTAGAAATGTCCCCAGCGTAACATGAATATAAATAAGGATGCAGAGGCTTCTGCTTGCCCGCTGATTACTCACAAACCGTTCCAGAGGCGTCATCGGCCTAGCTCAGCTCCACGGAATGTAAAGATAAATTAAACCTATTAATCACCCCCGGCAGTGGGGCTGGCCTGAGCCAAGACTGGGAAGGTAGGCTTTAGGATGGAGATGAGTCAGCGAGAAGGGAACCAGTGCATCGCAGCATCCCTGGGGGAGGCAGCACCTGCTCTCTAAGAAACCCTTCCTGAATGTGCTGTAAGGAAAGTGTTAACTGCTCAGTCGTGTCTGACTCTTTGGGACTCTGCCTTGGACTGTAGCCCACCCAGCTCCTCTGTCCATGGGATTCTCCAGGCAAGAATTCTGGAGTGGGTTGCCATTCCCTTCTCCGGGGATCTTCCCGACCCAAGGACTAAACACATGTCTCCTGTATTGCAGGGAGATTTTTCACCATCTGAGCCACCAGGGAAGCCCCCACCAATCTCGATTCTGTCTGATGTGGCCGGTGGATTCTTCAGAAGCTGTCCGCCCTGGGAGGACATCACCCCATTCAGAATGGGTCTGAACCCTTCTTTTGCCATCTTCACACCCTTCCTTTGTGGTCCCTCTTTCATCCGCCACTGTCTGGCGTCTGGCCTACTGTTCGTTCAAGCCTTGACTCAAAAGTCCCCTTCCAGAGACCACCAGCTCTGAAGTCCTATTCCTTCCCCCTGCACTTTGTTTTCCTCATAGTGTGTCCCTGGGGCTCAGCACAACCCGGGTTTGAATCCTGGCTGTGCTATTGGTTGTGTGCAACCTCTCTGTGCCTCAGTTTCCCCACCTTTAAAAATGGAATTGAACAGAAACAACTTCATGGGGTTTTGGTGAGGACGAGGAGCACACATTTACGTCAAGTGTTTAGGACAACGCCTGGCACGGAGTCGGCAACGCTGACTCCCATTGCTGCCGTGGCTCCTGTTACAATTGCTGCTCTTATTTTTGGGACACTTTGCCATGACTGGAAACCATCTCCTTATTTGTTGGTGTCGATCATCTGTCTTGCTTCCCACTGCAGCATGTGAGCTCCACGAGAGCAGAGGTCTTCTCGCCTTTGTTCCCCCCAGTTTCTCTGCCGTGGGGAGCATGTGTGGGTGTTCAGTAAGCATGGGGTGAATGAATGAACCAGGTGTTGGTGGACACTGGGGTGAATGGGCAATTTTCCAGGAGGGTGGAGGTGGCAGAGACCCACCTGCTCTGTTTTCTGGATGTGAAGGCAGCATTTCCTGTGCATTGAGTTGTATTTACCATCCATCCCCCCAGTGGTGTGTTGAAGTCCTAACTCCCAGTACCTGTGGATATGACCTTGTTTGGAAATGGGGTCTAAGTAGTTGTGATCAAGTTAAGATGAAGTCACGCTGGATTGGGGTTGACCCTACTCCAGTTGATGTCCCAGGTGGCACTGGTGGTAAAGAACACGCCTGCCAAAGAAGGAGATGCAAGAGATGTGTGTTTGATCCCAGGGTTGAGAAGATCCCCTGGAGAAGGAAACGCATCCCACTCCAGTATTCTTGCCTGGAGTATACAATGGGCAGAAGGGCTTGGCAGGCTATAATCCACGGGGTTGCAAAGAGTCGGACATGACTGAGGGGTCTTGTAGGACCTGTGTGCCAGCAAATGACTCAAATGACTACTCCAGTGACTGGTGTCCTTATAAGAGGAGGAAACTGGACACACGCACACACATGTAGGGAAGAAGGCCGTGTGAGGATGGAGGCAGATTTGAGAGATGCATCTGCCAGCCAGGGAATGCCAGGGGTTACTCGTAGTCAGGAGACAGGAAGAGGTGAGAAGGAGTCTTCCTGGAGCCTTTGGAGAACCTTGCTGACACCTTGATTCCAGTTGTTGGCTATTCACAACTGTAAGAGAGAGGATTTCTGCTGTTTGGCGCTATCTGGTTTGTGGTGACTTGTCATGGAAGCCCCTCGGGAGCTAGCACAACATTTTCCGTGAGCTCATGTCCCATTGGGATGGGAAAGAAGTGGGTGAGTCAGCCCAAATCAGTGTATTCATTTTCTATTCTCTATAACATTATATAAACTTAGCAGCTTGATGCAACACATTTATCTTCTTCTTTTGAAAAAAAGTTTATCATTTACTTGGCTGTGCCAGGTCTTAGTTGAAGGATCTTCGATCACTGTTGTGGCATGCAGGATCTTTAGTTGCAGTATGTGGGATCCAGTTCCCTGACCAGGGATCGAACCCTAGGCCCCTTGCATGGGGAGTGCAGAGTCTTGGCCTTTGGATCACCAGGGAAGTCCCACATATTAAATATTTATTGTCTCACCATGTCTGTGAGTCAGGAGTCTGGGCAGGTCTTAGCTGGATCCTCTGCTTCTAAACCATACAGGCAGCAATCAAGTTGTCGGCCAGGGCTGAGGTCTCATCTGAGGCTTGACTGGGAGGAATCCAATCCCTTGTTGCTCTAAGTCCTGGAGCCTCAGTTCTGTTCAGAAGCCATCTACCATTCTTTGCTTTGTGGGTCTCCTCACCCCAGCATGGCCACTTGCTTCATCAAAGCCACCAAGGGTGAGAGAATTTCCAGAAGGTGGACATTGCAATTTTCATGTAGTGTAATCATCCTGATACTTTCCAAGTGTGGTGTTGGCAAAGACTCTTGAGAATCCCTTAGACAGCAAGCAGATCAAACCTGTCAATCCTAAAGGAAATCAACCCTGAATATTCACTGGAAGGTCTGATGCTAAAGCTGAAGCTCCAATACTGTGGCCGCCTGATGCGAAGAGCTGACTCATTGGAAAAGACCCCTGATGCTGGGAAAAATTGAAGGTGGGAGGAGAAGGGGATGACAAAGGATGAGATGGTTGGATGGCATCACTGACTCAACGGACATGGGTTTGAGCAAGCTCTGGGAGATAGTGAAGGACACATGGAAGCCTGGTGTGCTGCAGTCCATGGGGTCACAAAGAGCAACTAACAACAATTACCTTTGCCATATTCTATCCACTTAAAGAAAATCACAGGTCTTGCCCACACTCAAGGGCAGGGGACAACAGTGTGGCTCTCAAGAGGGGGATCATAGGCCACCTCAAAGCGTGTTGAGCAGAGTCAGGCTGGCAGAAGTTGAGAGACAACCAGACCTCTGACATCTGGTGGGACTGTGTTCTTTGTGGGCAAGCAGAGTCGGAGCAGTTCCTATGGCAACTGAGAGTCTGGGGGTTCTGCCAGGTCCCTAAGGTTGTGGGAACTGTCTTTGTTTGTTCCTCTCAAGCCAGAGGTGCACATAAGCTCGGGGATCCTGTTGTAAACTCAGCTGATTTCTCTCACAGCTACACCCCACTCAGTCATACTGAGTGTAGCTGTGTCTGAAATGCCAGGGATGCAGCATGAAGCAGAGATGAGTTGAGTTTCCACCCTCACAGCCTTAGCATCCAGTGTGAGATTTAGACAGTAAACAGCCATGTGCCTCAGAGCATGTGATGATCCACTGGGATCTGTGCTGTGATGTCATAGAGCAGTGCGGGAGCAGAGGGCCTTTGGATCAGACGTGGCCCTGGGTGATGATGAGGGGTGACTGCGAGCGGGTAAAGCCACAGATGGAAAGGTCCCGCAGCTGGACGGGCCACAGAGCATTCTGGGGACGCTGAGAAGGCTGATGGGGGCCCTCTGTCTCCCTTGCGGACTGTAAGCTTCAGCACGGCAGGGCCCTTGGTCATCTTCATGCGTGTGTCTCCAGCACCGCGCACTGTGCTTTCAGCACTCAAGGAACATCTGTTAAGTGATAAAAGAAGAGAGTGAAGGGGAGAGTGGAATGACAGGAGGTGGCTGGGGGCCCAGGGTGCAGGCTTTGTGAAACTCTGTCCCTGTTCCAGCAGTGGTGGGCCCTCCGAGGTTCACCCTGCTCCCCAGGGGATGCATTTTCAGTAGTCTCTGTGGCTGTCGTGTGGATGATGGATTGAGGAGCAAGAGAGGGGGTGCAGGAGGGCATAGAATGGGGGCAGGGCCCTGGGCCAGGCTGGTGGATGTTCAGAGCCAGGTGGTCACATACACAGAGAGGAGTGGATGGATCCAAGAGATTCTGTCGGAGGTAAAAGTGATGCCTTGGCAGTGAATATGCAAGTAAGGGGCTGAGATCATTCCCAGTAGCCTGTGTCATGGCCTGGCTGAGTGTCCCCTGAATCAGAAGGTTGTCTATCATTTAATCCTTTGCTTTTAGAGGGTGACCACCTGGCATCAGGGCACAAGTACACTGAAGTTCAAAGCTCAGCTCTGCCCTTCCTAGGATGTGCTGCTGAAACTTCTCTTCCATCACCTTCTCTTCAGGAGGGGCCTGAAACACCTGCTTCTCAGGACCATTGTGAAGATCCATGGTGATCAAATGCGTGAAGGCACCAGGACATGGCCTGGTACAGAGCCTGCCAGCTGTGTGACTTGGGCTGGTTGCTTAACCTTCCTGTGCCCCAGTTCCTTGGCTGCTAAAACAGGGCCCACTGTTCTGGGATTGCAACAAGACAGACTATTCCAGAACACAGTGGCTTTGGATGGCAATCACATTATCCCATGTCGCTTTGTGTTATCCGGGCCCTGGATGATCTTGGCTGGGTGTGGGGCAAGTCCTTCTTCCTGCAGGCGTGTGAGTCTGTGGGTGGCACTGTTCCTTGTGTTTTTCATCCCGCTGGGATCAGTGGAGCAGGCACGGCCCGTTGATCTCATGGAGTTGGCAGGATGCAAGAGGGAAGCAGAAAGACATGGAGCCCCTGAAGGCCCAGCCTTGTCACCTCTGGACCTGGCACCAGTGGCCAAAGCAAGGGACATGGTCGAGTCCAGACTCAGGACAGGGAAGAACATTCTGCCCAGGGTGAAGCCAGAGTGAAGGTGAGAACGTAGGGGGAGGTGAAGAATCGAGGCCGTCAGTTCAGTCTTCCAAGGTCGTTAACCTATAGAGTTGCCCTCCTCATAGATGGGTATGATGGTTAATTTTATGAGTCAGCTTGGCTGGCTCACTGGGTACTTTGTGTTTTGGGCAAACACTCTCCGTGCTCCTCTCAGGGTATTTTTGGATAAGATTGACATTGAAAAATAGGTGGACCTGAGTAAAGCAGACTCCGTCTGCCTGTGGGTGGGCTTCCTCCATCAGCTGAAGACCTGAGCAGAACAAGAGACCAGCCTCCTCCAAGCAAGAGGGAATCTCCTGACTGGCCTTTGAACCGGCCTGTAAGCTCTCCATGGGGCTTCTGTACTGCTGGCCCACCTACAGATTTTGCATTGACCAACCTCCTTAGTTGTATGAACCAACTGCTATGATAAGTCTCTTTGTCTCCCTGTCTTTGTCCCTCTGCCTAATGCATTGGTTCTGTTTCTCTGACGAACACAGTGAACAATGAGCTACTCCACACAAAGCTCCTAGAACCCAGCCTGGCCCATCATAGATGATCCGTGTAAACTGGAGTGTCTGAGCCTCAGCACTGTTGACACCTCAGGCCAAATAATTCTCTACCCTGGGGCTTCCCTGGTAGCTCAGCTGGTAAAGAATCCGCCTCAGTGCAGGAGACCTTGGTTCGATTCCAGGGTCAGAAAGATCCCCTGTAGGAGGGATAGGCTACTCACTCCAGTATTCTTGGGTTTCCCTGGTGGCTAAGAAGTAAAGAATCTGCCTGCAAAGCAGGAGACCTGGGTTCGATCTCTGGGTTGGGAAGATCCCCTGGAGGAAGGCATGGCAACCCACTCCAGTATTCTTGCCTGGAGAATCCCATGGACAGAGGAGCCTGGCAGGCTATAGTCCATGGGGCTGCAAAGAGTCGGACATGACGGAGTGAGTAAGCACACCAACAGTGGGGGCCCATCCTGCGTGTCGTAGGGTGTTTAGCAGCTTCCCTGGCCTCCACCCACTAGATGCCAGTAGCACTGCCCAGCCAGGGCTGCCAAAACCAGAAATGTCTCCAGGTGTGGCCAGAGGTCCTCTGGTTGAGAGCCATTGGGGTAAAGGTTAGTCATCCTTAGTACTATCTGAGTCACTGCGTGTCGTGGATCCACATGACTATTATTATCTTTGTTCTCTTTTGCTGTTTTATTGAAGCCATTGCTGTAAAAGGGAGGAGCCATATCATGAAACAGTCGGCTGTGAAAAAGCAGTGCAGTTTGTTTTTCTAATTTGTCTTCAAAGGAATTAGAAAGTTACGCAGAGCTCAGACTAAGCCCTGGCTCCCAAAGGGTTTGGAAGAGCAGACTAGCTATTCTTGTCCCTAGAAGCATCAGTAGCTGCATCTTAAACGGTGGCAGAGGCTGGACACAAATGCTCTTAATTTTGAACCTCTGGTTTGAGGACGTGTGCAAAGTGAAGAGGAGTGAGCATTCTGGTCTCTGTTTTCTCTGCAGAGATCCTCAGGGGATGCCTTTATTTTTCTTGTCATATGAAAGGTTTTCATTTTTTTTCTTTCTCTCCCTCCCTCCCTTTAGCCCTCCTACATCCCTCTTCTCTCTCTCTCTCTCACACACACACACACACACACCATGAACAATTAATAACCTTGGGAGACAGCTTCAAATATTATTCCCATTTTATGGATAAATAAGCTGAGGCTGCAAGAGGTAAAGCAGCTAGCCTGGAGTTGTACAGCAAGTAAGTGAATTGAACTCATGTTAGTTTGATTCCAGTGTTCAGCCTCCTAAACACAACACAATACTTTATCAGGGTGAATCTAACTATGTCCCCAAAGGTCTCAGAATCTTGCTGGGGGGAGACCAGAAGATTGAAGTGAATTGTTACTCCCCAGCTGTGTGGGGTATAGCCTGAATGAAGTGTGTAAAGCACCAGATATTAAAGTTTATGAGTCTATTAATCCACAGCTTTGGAGGAATTAAAGTTTCATATTGATGATAAACCTTCCCTAATAAAACGTAAGGGAAGCAGGAATAAATCTCTGATTCCAAAGGACCCCAAACCACTTAAACAATTGTATGTGAGATGGATGGGTGCAATGGCAGTGGGGTGATATGTCTTGTCCGGTGGAGGCTTCTTTAGCAAAGTGGTTTTTTTTTGCTTCTGCTAAGTGGTGGAGATAAAATGATGGATGTGTGCTATTGATTTCATGGGAGTTTGCAGGAGGGTGAGCACAGCTGGATGAGAAGTCCCCGGTGCAGCTGAAAGCTGCTGAATATGCATTTAGGAGGAGACAAAAGGCATTTTGGGCGGTCAGTTTCATCAAAAAGCAGAAAGCTGGCAAATACATGGCAATCACTCTCCCTCCCTCTGTTATTCTCTCTTTCTTTTCTCCTTCCCCTCTCCCTCCATCCATCCCTTCTTTCCTCCTCCTCCCTCTCCCTCCCTTCCTATTTTTGTCACATGGGAAGTGTCTCAGTGGGCGTAGGTGAGCTGTGGGGTATAGGTGTTGATATCAACACAGTCCTGGATTAGAGTCCTAGATTTGTCGTGTATTAGCTCTGTGACTTTGGGCAATTTACTTAATCACTCTTGGCCTTGGTTTATTTTTATTTTTTTAAAAATAAAAATAGAATAGTTTTATATTTACAGAAATGTTGCAAAGATAGCTCAGTGAGCTCCCGTATATCCTGTACCCCTATCGCTTCCCCTATTGTCAACATCTTACATCACGATGGTACCTTTGTCACAACTGATGTACAAGCATTGACGCACTGTTATCAGCTAACACGGGAGTTGGTGGTGGACAGGGAAGCCTGGCGTGCTGCAGTCTGTGGGATCGCAAAGAGTCAGACACAACTGAGCGACTGAACTGAACTGAATACTTCATNCAGGGTTGATGATCCCCTTTCTTGAGGGCGGTGGGTGTCTACATGGTTGTTTAGGATTCTTCTGTATGGGATACTTATTCATTCTTCCATGTTTACTTACTCAGTCATTTATTTACATCAATGTGGATATTAATTTTATGCTTTGAGTTATAATCCAATACCATATTATTTATTTTGTTGCTCAAATTATTCCAGCTTCATTGGGACCTTACTTTCTTGATAGATTTATTTTTTATAAGGAATAAATGGTGATAATCTGGGCTGAAAATATGGTAGCCTGAATGGTACACAATTTAAGGAGGCACCAAAAAGATCAGTAACCAAGATAAGTAATATTTTTTAAACTTAAAAAATTATTTTTATTTATTTTGCTGTGCCAGGTCTTAGCTGCGGCATGTGGGGGTCTTTAGTTGCACCATGTGGGATCTAATTCCCTGATCCGGGATAGAACCTGGGCCCCCCCATGTTGGGAGCTCAGCGTCTTAGCCACTGGACCACCAGGGAAGTCCCAAGATAAATAATATGTTAATGCAAGACTTAAAACATAAAAATTAATGAAACTGATTTCATGATGAACAAAATGTTAACATTTTATATCAGATCAGGATCCATAACATATATTAATAGCTAACCATGTACCTAGTATTTAATACATATTTTAGCAGCATTTAATAGATTAATTCTATCAATTCATATGGATGTGCTAGTATATCAGTGATTTCTTTCCTAAACAAAGAAACTACCCCAAAATATGTTGACCTAAAACAGCAAGCTTTAGTTCAGCCCACAGGTCCGCAGGTCAGCTGGAAGGTCCTGCCAGCTTGCCCAGGCTCACTTATGTGTCTGTTGGTCAGCTGGCTGACTGTTGGCTTATCTTGGGTGGCCTCAGCTGGAATGACCAGGGCAGCCTGACTTGGCCTCCGTGACCCTCATCCTGATTATAAGACCAGCAGGCTCGTCTGGGTTGTGTCTTTCTCCTGGTGATGACAGAGACTAAGAGGGAAAGTGGAGACATGTAAAGCCTTCTCAAGTCAAGGCTCAGAGTAGTGCGTTACCATTTCCGCTTCTCTTCTGCTGGACGTCAGGAGGACAGCCCGGTTTAAAGGGGAAGGGACGGCAAGATCTGCCTCATTAGGGAGAGGAACACAAATCACATGGCAAAGGGAGTGGGTGTGGACACAGGGAGGGGCAAAGAACCCAGGCCCTTTACGCGGTCAGTCCCCCACGCCCGCTGACAGGACAGCACTAAACACAGCAGATTCAGCTCTCTGCCCTTGGGGGGCTCACGGTGTTGACAGTGGTGATGGCGATGAAGAAGAGACGACTGTGATCAGTCTCTCAGGAGGACTGTGGCTACTATCAGCCCCACGTGGACGAGTGGAGCGGTTATTGGCACTGTTCTAGCAGGATTCAGTGCTTTGATGGGTCCTGCTTCACCATCAGCCATGGAGGGGGGAGGTGGGTATCTAGTGCAAGAAAGAAATCCAGCCTCCAGGAGGTGTGCAGAGAGGCATGTTGTCCTCTCCGGGGCCTTCTATCTTATCGATCTGCTTGTTCACGAAAATCAAATCAGCAGCTCCTACCTTTGCAAAACAGAGGCTGTTTTAATTGAGATATTGGAAGATGTATTTTCTTAATTTCTGCCTAATGGAAAATCCTTACAGCTGATCAATTCGGGTCAGTTTGAAGCAGTTGCTGCTATAAATGAAGTTCATCTAAGGTTATTCATGTTGGAAATCAATACCCAATAGTTTGGGGGAAATGTGGCAAGTTCTGCTGTAGAGAAGCTTTGCAAAGTATCAAGACTGGTGGGTCTTGCTGGTTCATGATAAGTAACTTTCTGTTTATTTTCTAAGACGTTGGTAAATAACCCCTATCACCCCTCAAGGGGCTTCTTGGGTTCAGTGCTGGGCCTTGTCTTACTTAATCCTCACAGCAGCCCAGTGAGGTAGTCTGTTATTATTTCCAATTTATACATAAAGAAACTGAGACCCCAGATAGTGTTGCTGAAACAGTGAGTGACAGCCAGGGTCTGAGTCCACGATCTGAACCACTGTACTGCTTCCCTCTTAACTGTTTCCCAAGGTAGCTGGTGCTCGTTGAGTCCCTGTTCCCACCTCTACCTGGAGGTGGTCAGCAAAGAATACTGATGAAGTGTGGGTGGCATTCTGAGTTTTGTATCTGATCCCAGTACAGCAATGCCATCCCTCCAAAGAAAGTCAGACTTGATGGGAAATGAATAAGCTGTGAAATCAGATCAATCTATTTTCCATCATTTCCAATCATCCATTATTTTCTGTGTTTTACTATTTCCTGTCTCCCAGTCACTTCCTATTTCACATCACTTCCTGTCTTCCATCATTTCTTTTTTTCTTTAAAGAAAAAAAATTTTTTTTTTTTTTGGCTGTTCTGCATGGCTTGTGAGATCTTAATTCCCCACCTAGGAATCAAACCTTCGCCCCCTGCAGTAGAAGTGTGGAGTTTTAACCACCAGACCACCAGGAAAGTCCCCCTGTGCTGTGTTTAGTTGCTTAGTCATGTCCAACTCTTTGCGACCCCATGCACTGTAGCCCACAAGGCTCCTCTGTCCATGGGGATTCTCCAGGCAAGAATACTGGAGTGGGTAGCCATTCCCTTCTCTAGGGGATCTCCCCAACTCAAAGATCGAACCCAGGTCTATTGT